ATGTGGATTTCATGGTCATCTCTCCGCTGTGTCGGTGAACGCGGGAACCTCTCAGAGCTGCCAGGGCGACAGCGGAGCTAACCTTTCTGGATACAAGGCCCGGAGGAGTCGCCTCACCGCAAAGCCCGAGACAGGACAGTAGACTCAGTGGACTTCTGGACCGTTCCAACTGAAACGCTCATGGAAGTGGCGTTTTCGCTTCCCCTCAGCCAAAAGTGAGCTTTGTTGATGCATCCCTGAACATCTTCTTGGCCCCAAACATTGTGATTTATTCACTGCCAGGTTGACGAACAGAAAACAAACCAAACCATGTAGTGGAAAAGCGTGGAAAACTCATTGAAAGCTACTTGGAGGTCTATGGCAGCATGGACTCAATGAACTGGTACGTCGCATGAAGCTCAGACAGAGCAGATGGATTTGGGAAGATCATTGCATGCATGCGATAGACACAACTATGGAACTTGAACGGCATTACGGGCATCAAAACCCCAAAGGAAAAGGTCAAGTAGATTAGAATGCTAAGTATGCTACAAAAGGATTACAAAGTCGACAACCTGGCTATGAAATTCCTGGAACCTTGTATTCTTCCTTGCCAAGCAACCGCTCTTAAGCTAGCCATTTAAGAACAAGCACACCTTTTTGCGCTCCTGCTCCCAAGCATGACTCAATGCCTCCAACTCAGGTTTGGAATGACACCCAGTCTCCGAACACAACATGGTGAGACTGCTCAGTTGTAAGTTGCGGAAGAGACCACTTGGCATGGAGTATGGACAGCACATCTTCAGCATCACGATCGCAGATGGGCCGATGCTTCTGTATGGACCTGACGTCTCGCAGACCGAGGTGGATTTTGGATCTTGAGGCATACACGGTTTGGTCCCCCAGCGTTTCAGCTTCAGGGTGGTGAATGTTTAGTCTAGACTGGTCAGATTTTAGGCTTTCATTCCTGATGGTCTCCGTCTTCTCCGTCTTCTGTCATCGTTTTTTGACTGATTGCAGCCAGCTGAGGTGTACTACTTCACAATTGCCGGGCTCAATGAGATTGGGGAGGGTCTGAAGAGTTGGGCCCTTGGCGACGGCGAGGACGGCCTAGGACGGCGAGACCAACGCCGTAACGACTTGCGGCCTCTGAGGGTGTGCCCTTCCCGCGGGAAAGCATTCAAAGTGCACTTATATATGGGACATTGGTATACCTATATAAAACTATAACTACCTCTCTTATATCACACTTATATGGGACATTGCGAGTCTGTGACTGTTTTGGGAGGTAGCTATATAAGTAAAGTGCTGACCTAAGGCTCCGGAATGAGAGACGGGGTGTTTTCTGTCTGGTTCAACGAGGTGCAGGGGTTTCATGCGAGACGGAGGCATTCCCATATATCACTGGTGAAAGCACCGTGGCAACACCCATTTCTAATCCCGAGTACCTATTGATCAACACTACTGACACTACCCAATTAACAAAAGCTCATTGTTTTATATTACTGCCTTCTTAAACCGCTACTAAACTACCAACAAGGCTGATTTGGCATTTTTTTTCTTTTTGATTGGGTTCCCACACAGTCACCTACATCCACCCGCACCCTCCCGCACCCTCCCACGCCCTTTGACTCCTACTGACCGAAACTTCCTTAATAAACCCCAGGCTGGCAGCCCTGGTTAGTCATTAAGTTTCTATTCAATAAATGCTCCTCTCACTGACCCTATTTTTGACACCCCTCATTTCGGGGACCCCCGTATTAAAGAACGTGGATTGACTTTTTAAACATAGGGTGGGGGGGTGCCGCCGTGTTTAATGTATAGGTGGAAGAGATTAATTGCACCCTACATGCATTGGTCATTCCACCCTATGGCCTATGGCCCCTATGACTCTAGGTCCTAGCTGCGCAGATCCTGTGAGCTGAAGACATTTGATTGACAGCAGTTGCTAGTGAGACCAACAGTGAAGTAGCAAACGATGCCTTGAGGGTGGGAGGTGGGATGCGTAGGTGATGGAGGTGGGAATCTTCTGTTAAACACATACGTGCAAGGATGTTGGAAGAGAAAGGCTTTGGCCCAACTGATAGCGGCTGTTTGGTTGAAGTCTGGACACGTACTTTTCGGGGCTAGATCCTAGACAAAGAAGTTTGGATCATCTTGATTTGAGGTGAGATGGTCTCTGCCTACACAGCTCCTGTTGGTCTACCCCATCCGCATGGGAACCCAAGAAGGCTGGGGGGAATTCACGTTTGTGTGATGCCCGCCACGCCTGGAAGCGTACGGGGGCAGTCACAAGGACTTCCACCGATGCCACGGGCCGAATAGACACATCTTCGACACGTTGCATGCGAGCAACATGTGAGCAGCACGCCTTGACACAATAGGACGATGACTGTTCGATTCAAAAGCAAGATGCTCTGTGAAGTGGGAGGTTGCTCTGTGTGAAAAGACCCATATCTTGTCCTCAAACTTGTGTCTTCTCACCAGCCACTCCCACATCATGACAGAAGGACCTTGACTGAAAATACTCGTGAACTGCTAAAGTTGCTAATTGTGATCAACTGGTTCGTGTCCAAGTGATTCAAACGTGTCATGCACCACACTGACAGTGACAGTCTCGACTGTGTGCTGAGACTCTTCTCATCACCATCTTTCG